TGCCGGCTGTTCTGACTCACAGACTGGAAGTACGTTTTTATATTTAAAGAATTTGCCACTGATGATTCAAACACGAGTTTTGAGCAGTGTAAAGTAGCGCTTGTTGTTTGTCATTTCTCAGATCACAAATGCAGACATGGTTGTATGTTTACGTGGCGCAATACGCAGCGCAAAGCGTAAAAAGACAGTATAAGTCATTACAATCAGTAATTATGTCCCCACTGGATGCAACAAATGCCTCGTTTGTAATGGGTTTTATTGGTTTTGTCTCGTCGCGCTGGACACATGGAAACCATAGACTGTATGATGGAAACACAGTATGGTAAGGGAGGTAACATTTCTGTCACACGCTTGAGGTATTCGGCCAATCAAAATGCACTGGATAGCTGGCCAATCAGAGCACACCTCGCTTTTCAGACCGATGAGCTTTGTAAAAATCGACGCGTTTCAGAAAGGCGGGGCATAGAGGAGAAACAATAATGTACATTATGTGGAAAATAATGTTTTTTTTAAAACTTAAACCGCATAAACACATTGCATTACACCAAATACACAAAATAATGTTCTTTTTAGCAACATCATATGACCCCTTTAAGACCATAGAAATACTTCTGTGAATATATTTATTTTTACATTTAGTTAAAGAGAATTGGGAGAAATATGCTTAATTGTTATAAAATATATATGCAATCACAATGCAAAAAATATGGTCATAAAAACAGGATTCATTTATTTTAGGCAAAATACATTTCTCGATTTTTGTTAAAAATGAACTGGACTTCTTGGATTTCTTGACTGGTTTCATGAGATTCACACAGTAATGCTTATACTAAAAAGGCAGGGGCCACCCACTCCTGTGATGAGTGATCATGACACATGAAAAAAGCACTCAACAACTTGATGCATTTTGAAATTTATTATTACACAACAAGAGGCACGCAATCAAAAACATCCAATCAGAACTTTTCCCCCATGTCTTAGGCAAAGTATTGCATTAAAGTATATTCTATGGAAATAATTCGGCTACAATAAAATGGATACATATAGAAATATAACCAGTGTACAAAGACAGTCAGAGGACATGCACTCCCCAATAAAATTAAATGTCTAAAACTAGTCAGAAGAGCTTACTAAATAAAACCATTCAGTTTTCCACTCAAATTAAACTTGAAAGAAAACAATGATCCACCATCAGTAACACCAGATGAGACTTGCTCAAAATACCCAGTCAGTAAAGAACAAGTCATGTGTCTAAATGGATATGACCTTTTACCAATAGCAACTGAGCTTACAAAAAATTAATTTTTTTAAAAATCCACAATTTACTAAAAGAAAAGAAAGCAAAAACAAAGCATTAAGGTCTTCCCTCAACTTATCATCTCACTTTTACCAATTTCTAGAGCATCTATCGCAGTAATTATTGATTAAATATTTATAATGAAGGTATCACATGATATTGAAATGATAAATAACATCCTAAAAACTCCTTTGATGGTGTATGATATCCATACATGGTTTAATCAAATTATAATTATTAAAAACTCATTCAGAGGCAATTCTTAGAGGATAGTACATTTGTAATTTTACAAACAAGAACACAAACATGATTTAGTCACAAAAGTTGTGCTGAGAGTCATCAGGGACTACGGGAATGAGTAAACCAAAATGGCAGCAAATAGTAAATCATGTCGCACTCTCTCTACACTCCAAAACATGTGCACATCAAAATGCACAAATTAAAATATACAACCTATTTACAATGTGTAGAAATAAAGGGACAATAAGGGAATGTTTAGGCACACATATAATAGACCGCAATCAAAAACAGTAAAATGTATTTGACACCTAGAACATACTATAAATTAAAAAAAACATACACACAGGACTGTTCTTAATGGGCCTCATTCACAAAATATGAGCAGAGTGAATTTGTGTGTTTATAAAACCATTAAACAATTTACATAAGAATGTTTTTAAAAATGATTTACAAAGAAATGAGTGTACAGTTTCGCATGATACTACGAGTATAAAGCATAAAACTAAGATTAATCAAGATTATGATTAACAGTTATGGGGCAAGCAGGTAAATTTAATAAAAAATAAAACAGAAACAAAGTTTTTCATTTACATGATTAGTTTTTAAGCTAACAAAGATAGATGTGTGATTAATAAATGCTGTGTGTACATATTAGTATAACTTTACCAAACATTACACTTTATTTTTTGTTCTATATTGATCCAATAAGTAACAGCAAGTGAATCTGATACAAAGACATACTTGCTAATGGATGGGGTGTTTTTGAGACAAAGAAAAAGCAAAAAAATATGATCTCAGACTATACATTCTTAAATCATCTTTCTTGATTTCACTCAACACTGATATAGATTATATCAGATTTATGAATGTGTACATTATGTAGAGGGAAGGTGGGAACTGAAAAGTGCTTTAAAGCAATAACAAAAACTGCCCATGAGCTCAAAGTGCTGTTTAATGGGTAATGTTTATGAGATATTGAGTCCATCTGGAAACTCAAGAAAACAGAATGTGAACAAATGAAATCCTCTTAAGGAAATCAAAGTGATGAAATGCGCACATTCTTTCAACAAAGTATGTTGTATTTTGACTACTGTACGTCTGAATTAACCACTGAGTCAGGCACAATGATGACAAATGAAGAAGTGCATATTGACAATTGCCAAAACTACATCCCTAAATGTAGAATATGTGAAAACAAACCATCTACAGATGCCTTGTTCCCCATGTGCCCTAAATCTGATTGGCAAGACAGTCTCTCATGAAAATGTACTGATCTGTTCAGAAGTAGCATGAGAATATCTATTGTTTTGATCCAATAACCTTAGGAGAAATGTGCAAAAAATATTTCATGATTATATAATCTCATTATATAAAATGATGGGCTAGGTCCATACAAATTCAGTATGACAATACCTGCAGATTGCTCTAAACAAAATGTGTCTTGGAGAGATTCTTTATGGGAGCAGAGAATGCAAATATTTGTAAAAACATTCCAACAAGTAAATAAGTGCACAAAAAATTAAATACACAAATTAGCTTACAACGGCAGAAAAATGTTACTCATTTTTTAAACAAAGTGCCTTACTCAAGTCTAGGGCATGAATGTAAGGTCCTTTCAGTACCTCTCCAGACAACATGTTACAAAATCGATTGTAATGCTATGTCAGAGTAGTTTCTATAGACCTTCATTATTAGGTCAGTCCGTTGAGCCTGTTGTTCCAAGCAAAAGAACTAAATGCTAAAAAGAGGCCAAATCAGAATTGATTTTTGTATCATTTTCTCTCTAGGAAGCTACATTGACCCTATAATTTAGACTACTACAACAGCATTGTTGTTGTAGCTTGAATTCCTAATTCTAGAACACACAGGCTAACTAATTTGGCAAGCCATAGTGCGTTCATCCCAAGCCCTACATGTGTAATGCACAAATAATGCAATGACACATAAAGAGTATCCCATAGTCTACATTAGAAGTGCTGATAATGAAATCTAATGCGTGCATCACTCTGCTCCACATGCGTGATTGTTTAAAGATGGAAAATCATAAGTATTTGCACAGAGATCACATTGCCTTCACTGACAGAACTATAAAGTGCCATTAAAATGCTTCAAATCATTAAAAGCTCTTGTTTAGCCAAAGGTTTGACTGCTTGTAGCATCTGGAGATCTTGTTTCGTTAACAAGAGAGAACTCTGGGAAGTCCGCTCCTCCATGACCTCTCAGGCTAACTTGTCCACTGGCAATGCTAAACTGTGAAGACATTCCAGCTCGTGAGCTAGGAAACTGAGATCGAAAGTTCTGGTCAAAAGTAGCGATCTGAAATGTCTGACTAATGCTTTGCGCATCTGTTTTTTTGGGAGAGGTCACTTGGTCGAGGAAGTCCTCCGTTGGCGAAACTGAGGAAGGGTTTGTCTCGTCACCTGAAAAGGAGAAGGAGTGTTGGGAATCTACTAAAAGGCTAAAGTTAGGTTTCTCCAAGGTGGATCTCAATGGAGAGTTCATGCTCGGTCTGAACCGGGATGGGGAGGTGAACTGCTTCTCCGTGGAAAACAAAGGCTGGCCAGCAAGACTGGCACTGTCATTTACAAACGTAAGACTCTGGTTGTTCAGGTAGGTGTCGTTCTGACTGGTCCTTTCCAGTGCTTGCTGGAGAAACTTGGAGTACTCCTGTAGAAGGCTAGCCTTCTCGGCCGGGGGTCCTTGTGAGCTGGTCCCCAAAGTCTCGGTGGGGCTGCTCTCATCGGTAGAGTTGATAGAGATGCTGGATGTGACCTCGGTGTCCGCCACACTGAAGGAAATCTCTGCTTGCCCGTTGGCCTTATTGGAGTAGTGATCGAGAAGCGTCTGCAGGACCTCATCTGGAAGGACGTTCTTCTCGTTACTGGACTTGATCTCTTTTCCCAGTCAAGACTGACAGGGGAAAAAGTAGGCCTTAACCCTTAGACTTGCTTTCTCAGAGTACAGAGATGTACCACAAAACAGGGGCTTGCAATGGACTACATTAATAAATAGATCATCGACTCTAAAGATTTCACTGTACATTCTTAAAGAAATTTTTTTGAATGAAAAACACTTTTTTTTGCCACTGGTACAATGTTTATAATCCCTCTCTACTTACCTGTGTGGATCTTCTCATGTCTCTGAAGCAGGTACTTCTGAATAAAGCGCATGTCACATTGATTGCACTGGAAAGGCTTTTCACCTGCAAAATAAAAAATTGTGTTCACCATTTTGTTCTTTTAGATGTCATTTATTCCCAAAACACATTACACCACTTACCTGTGTGAATGAAGACATGTCTTTGTAAATGGTAGTTTGTCCGAAAAGCAGCATTGCAGTGCTCACAGACATGAGATTTCGGGTTCTGGTGCCCAAGGGAGCCGTCTTCATTAATAGTGAGAATCTAACAAGATGAAGGAAATATAGTTCAAAATCTACTGTACCTTATCTTTCATGCTTGTGCTCGTTTAGAGCATCATATCTGTGTGGTCATAATACTTTATGTCCTGGCTAACCAATACCATAAAATGACATGATAAATGTCAGATGTGCATTGCAGTTTTTAGTATAATAATATTTCTGAGTACAATCACCTCAGTAAGCAAGTAGCCTTTAATACAAATAAAATTATATTCAAAAAGCAGACAAATTAAGCAATTTCAGGACACTGAAATTATATTAAACCTTTGCAGGCGAGTGCTGCTTTCTCTTCTTCTTTTTGTGACAGTCAGATGGGTCCCTCCCTGGTTTCTTCTCCTTTTTATTGAGAATCAATGAGTCTGGCAATTTCATCTCCTGCTTTATATTTACCTAACAAAAGTAACAACAACAATCATGAATTAAATTCATTTACTGAATATACTTTTATAGATTTATTTTTATCACGATATAGCCATAATACAGTTTAATTCTGACAAATCAGCTTTGCGCAAATTTGCTGAAAAGAAATGCACACTTACTTTACCCAATATTTACTCACTGTTTGTTTAGGTACACTGACAAGGTTGTTGGAACTTGCACAAGTAAAATAAATAATATTGTTAAAGTGCAGCAATAATTAGCTCTTAATCAGCTCGAACAGCTGTACACTTACTGGCATATTGAGTGTATAGTGTAATTTATGGGAGATTCGCTGTGAGAAAGCGGCTTCATCCTGTCCGTCCTTTTTCACCGTCTCCTCATGAACCATGAGGTCATCCTGGGGTATCAGATCATGCGAGGTTAGGCCTCCACCTGCCAGGTCTTCATCATCATCATCTTCATCATCATCATCCTCTGCCAAAAGGGGATGATTAGCCAAGCTCCGTTCCCCAAGTGTCATATCCAAACTGCCTCTCCTTCCTCTTCCGTCCACCCTTGAGGGTCCCAAAGCTCTGGAAGAGTGATGAAGCCCCACAGGGCTACATTTCATAAGCATCCCCTCCAACTTTTCATCAATGTTCATCGCTGAACGCTGAGCAGTTGAGCTGAAGCTACAGGAAGAGACAGGACCAACATAAGGATTCCTATCAGCAGTCAACACAGCTGCGTTCACAGCACTTCCTCTCTGTTAACCTGGCTGAGAGAAACAACAGGTTTGAGTTGAAAGAAAACAAACCTCATATCCCCCCCTTTTGACAAGTAGCAGCAAAACCTGATGATCCATATTCTCCAGCATGATGATTCAAAGAGTATCTTGTGGAATTTGATCTTTTGAAAAATCCTAAAACGTTATTTCAAGGTTTAAATAAAAAAGGAGGATATGATCAGCTAGGTGTTGGTCTAGCCTCTATGTGCAATCAAATCAAAATCATTTTCATCACCTGCTAGGAAGAGGAGAAATGACAATAAACTCAATCTGACTTGACACGTCTTGAACGGTTATTGTCAGAATTGCCACTGCAGCATAAACTAATTTAATTAGGAAGCATTCATGCCTTTTTATGTCAGATTCCTGCTTCTACATCTCATTATGAACCAGCTGACTCTGTAATACATAATTTCTTACTATTTTAACGAGGCTTAAGACTTTATTATATTCAGAAAAAATGTATCAATCTAACTGTAATGACACTATTGGATAAAAATATAAAAAGCTGCAGTAGAGCTGCTATATAGCTGTTATTACTGTGAAGCTGCTCTGGAACAATCTGTATTTTCGTACCTATCAATACTGAACGATTAAAGCCGCATTTAACCCTGCTGTACTTTTCTAATCATTGATATTGACCTCATAAATATGAATATTATTCATTTGAATATTTACAAGCATACCTGATTGAGATTCATTATTAACCCAGGATGACCTTTACACAATTATTCTCTTATTCTACTGACTTGTATGAGCTGGTTGGCATCCTGCAGCTTTGCCATAACAGATTTAACCAGATGACACTGTCAAATCAAATCAATCTTATTTTTATAGCATTTTCACAATACATATTGTTTCTACGCATCTCTACAGATAATTCTCCCTTAATGCGCCCAGTGAGCAAGTCAATCTTGACTGTAGAAAAGCTCAAATTATATCAGTGGGGAAGAAAAAACAACAACAATATTCCATATGCATAGACTTTGTAAAAGTCATGTATGACATGTCAATCATCAACCTTAACTAAATACGACCCGCATAGGAAGTGGATCAACGTATGATTGAAAAAAAGAAAAGAGTTTAAGCTCTATGTAAACAGACTTAATAATGCTGATGTGCATAAACTAATAAATAAACTTAAAGTACATTTACAGTGTGTGACACTCGAGCATAACACTGGCTGCCTGTTGCCACTGTCAGAGATACAACTGCGCATTTAATTTGACTTGAGCTTAATGAGACTACTGTATTTTAATAATGACTTTAATATATGAATGTAGTTTAAAATCGGCCTGGTCTCAATTTCTATGCTGCCGTTTCTTCACGCACACAGAGGCCGGACTGCAAACATTTTCTCGGCTGATTGTATCGAAGACCTTCGCGGATGAAGAGTATACGTACCGCATGTGTTGTCAGTGCAGCGCTGGCGCCGGGTTCGAGCCGCTCATGATGTGTTTGTCAAACTTTACTGCGATGCCGCGGCTAGCATGAGAGGCTAGCGAGCTACATTCCATCTGCAGCAGCGCAGCGGTGCATTGTGGGATCGCAGCGGACCCGCTCTGATGAGACTCTGACAGGACGTGTTTGCTTGCTGTTTGAAATATATTTAAGCAATAAGTGTAGCTAATAATAGAGAATTATGTGGTATGTTATATAAATTGATTTATTCATAATCAGGTGGACCAAGATTTCTCTCACCCTGTCTAAGCCTCAATTATTAACCCCCATATAACTCATATAATAGAATCACAGGGACTTTTGTATTTAAAAACATTACATTTTAACATCTGTTATATTTTATTTCAGATCTATCTAGATACGCATATCTCTGTTCAGATAGCCTAATTAGCTCTGTTCAGATTGTACATTTATTTTAATGACTTGACATAAGGCATTTTAAGGTAAATTTGAATGTTTTTACATTTAAAAAAAAATGTAATTATGCACTTTTGTATGTGAATATAAAGAAACAGACCCTCAAAGGTTAAATAAGCTCCTAAAACAAACTTCCAAGGGGGTCACGGGGATAACTTACATTATTTATCTAAAAAATAATTAAAATGCTAAAAACAACACAAAACAGTTCCTCTCAAAAACTTTTCTTTTATTATTATTGAAAATATATATATAAGGACATCAAATATAATCGAATCACCAAACGAATCAATGTTTAATTAAGTTTCTGTTAATAAAAAACAACTAGCGTCATAATTACAAGACAAATACCATAGAAAATATATCCAATATGAGGGACTCTTGAATATAGTGTTGGAAAATGAGGGGCCTTCAAGTCAAAAAGGATGAGGAGCACTGCCCTAAAATCAACTTGAAGAGGTGAAATGGTGGCATTTAAATACAAAAACATTCATTTCTGATTTTGGCTCAATTTGAGAAGATATTTAACTGGATAAAACGAAGAACTGCGAGGAAAAAAGAAAACAAGTGTCCACTCATTTAATTGGTTAAAACCATGTCTTGCAATTTCAAACAAAGCCAAACATCTGACCAGTTTGTTATATCAAAAAAGTTTTAGTTATAAAAAGATGTTCATAAGTATAACACAACACTAGAGGGAAGCATTACAACAAATGAAGATTCCTCTTCAGTAGCGATCGCTACAATTGATCAGTTTAAAGAAAAGCACTCTTTTCACCAGTACACAGCTCACGTTAAAGGATGTATTCTTTTTCAATGTTAAAATACTTTCTCCCACCTCAGTTTAATGTACAGAGATAACAAGACATCTGTAGTTTGACAGATTTAAACTTGATTAAACTTTAAATATATTTGCTTATATACATAAGCATTCTCATACACAGTGTATTTTTGTTAACGTTACACCTCAAACTCAGCAACTTCATATAAATTGAAACAATCAAAATGAACTCCACATAAAAAAAGTCACTGCAGAGCTCTTAGACTATCAAAAAGATGAACACAACAAATTTAAAGTAGACAAGACTAAAATTGTGCGACCCTCACAACAAATGAAAACACAAGCCAAATGATAATGGTCATTTTTTTTTATTATCATTAGTGTTACACAACAATGATTTGAACAGAATATATACAAAATGGTTATCTCTACCCCACTCTAAACCAAAAAATGAACCAAATGACAAGGGGTCAGGCAGAGTTAAACATGCAGCTCTAAAATGAAGAAATTATTATATTCTGCCTTTCCTGTGACCTTCATATTCTTTAGCCAGATTTATATCAAAACACTGACCCACCCACCCACTCTTCATAACAAATATGGCATTCATAGTGGAAGCTGTGGCAACAAAAAAAATATGCTTGAATAAGGCATAAACAGCATATTAATATTTTTCAGATGAACTGACCCATATAAAGGGAGGGGGTCAGTGGTATAAACAGCTTATGATTTTATGACTGAATGTGCAGAAAAGTGACAGATCAGCATATTATGATGAATTTATGCAACTTTGTTAGCTGTATGGGCGTCAGGGCAAATTTAGTTTGCATGCGAATACGTTACTTTCCTTTATTAGGAAATCTTAGAATGTCCTCTGCGCCAGGTGATAAAGATCATTTTGCATGTGCCACAGTAACTGGACACATTCCAGAAGTGCAAGACCACCATTATGAAGAGGGGTGTAAGGTCAAATAAAAATGGAACTGCTGGATGAGCAGTCCCCCCCCCCCCTCAAAATCCCACTCTCTTGTTTTGCCTTGACAATTTTAGCCTGTGCTTTTGTTTTATGGTGAGCTAAAGTAGTAAAAACTTTAATGGAACGTAGAAAAAGGAATGATTTTAGCACACATTCTGACATCAAACAGCATCAAGAAAAAGAAGAAAAAGACAAATTATAAAGAAATGATTCCATTGTTCAAGATTAATCAATACTAATTAAGTTGTTCTTTTGTTTCTGTCTGAAGTGTTAAGAATTGTCCATTACCTTCACAACCTCTTGTGTAGGTCAAAATAGTGCAGTCACAAAAGTAACCAGGTCTAAAATCTGGCTGGTGAACGTGGAAATAAATAAAACAGCACCCCATTCATTCATTATTTGGACTTAGAAACTAGTGTATGTCAATATTATTTTATACCTTTTTACACCAGAGCATCTGGTGCAAGAGGCAAATGTTTAGGATTGCGAGGAAGACTTTAGTCCCCAAGGTCAGTCTCTAGGAGTGTGTGCTTCTCTGGATTGACATCTCCAAGGCCTCCTGGTGTTCTGGTTGTCGTAGCTGGAACCCTCACATCTTATTGAAGCACTCTTTAGCATTGTTCCACACTTGAATTCCCTAAAAACAAAACATGCTTATGTTTCAGTGCCACTATATCACTTCTCCCTTGTGTCTGATCAGTATAAAGTTTTTTTTTCTTGCCCTGTAATGACAAACTTTTTTCTACGTTTATTTTGCTTGCTTTGACGGTGCTTACCTTTTTGCACATGCTGATCTGCATGATGGCATAGCTGATGAGAGACTCTCTGAGATCATGGTCTTTCTGCTCTTTGAACCTCTCAATGTCCACCCATGCACTTTTCACAAACTCACTACAAAACAAACAAAAAAAAAAGATTCTTGGTGTGAAATAACTACTCCGATGAAGCTTGACATGAATGGCCGTATCCTCAAATCTACTTATTTTTAAGAAAGCCCTGAATATTTAGCCTGTTTTGGGTTTCATTTTGTTGTCTCAAAGATGCAACAATATGAGCAAAGAATGTGTATTTGGAGCATATCTGCATATTTCATCATTTCCGTACTGCCACAGGAAATGAGAAGGCAATGCAGTAAGGTTGTGCAACCTTGTCAGCTCATAAACCACCTAATTAAGTAAAATTTTCCGACAACATTTATTGCTTTTCGTCATCAGCAGTACATAAATTTAGTTGTGTGGGAATAGTGCACTGCTTACTCGCATTCTGCGTTTCTTTCTTTGACCTGTTCCTCTCCTTCTTCAATCTGTGTCTCCAGCATTTTCAGTTTGGCCTCCCTCTGCTCTGGGGTCTCTTGTCCAAACAGTTTACTGGTCATTCCCTTCAGAGAGAAGGTCCGTATTGTCTACACAGAAAAGAAAAAAAAAAGGTAAATGACACCCATTGGCTGGAGTAAACCACACTTTTCCTCCCAAGTTTAAGCTGAAATATGGAAGTTTTTACTCCCATTTTTTGGCCAAGTGGGCCTAGTAATTATTCACATCAGCCAATCGGGTCAGAATGTCTTTTGTATTTTGTTGGCTCTTTGTGCTGCTAAAATGTTTGCATGTTAAATGTGCCAATGAGGTAATTCTCTACAGGCTCTATTCATGCAGACACAATTTTATCAGCATAAAACTGTTAAAAAAACATTCACTAGCATGCAAACCTGAAGATGTTCTACATTTTTACTATGAAGGGCCAAAAATTAAACTTGACTGAGTAAATGTAAATGCTGTAGTAAATGCTGCATTATATCAAACTATGCTACTTTAAATGTATATTTTTAAATCATGCTCACTTATATTCTATACATTTAAAAACAGAAAATAAAACAAAAAGTGTTTTAAATATTACTTATATTTTATAACTGTTTGCCTATTTTTTCCCCTCCTTCTTGTGATATGATATGGGCACTGGTTTAAATAAATCTTCCTGGAAAGTCCCCCATTCCAGATGTAAGGGGTGATGTGGAGTTCTCCGGTCTCTGAGTTGTGTCATGTGGTTGAATGGACACTGACCCCTGTGGCGAGTTCCTCTTGCTGCTGTTTCTTAGAGGTCAGATCCTGGACGGCCATCTCCAGTTCATACTGTGTCAGTTCATGCTTCCTACACACTGTCCTGTGAAAACACACATAAACCACAAAATATACAAATTCAACCATAAAAGCAGATCATCTCCTTGTTTCTTATGGAAATTGTTGAACTGAAAATCTAGATGCCCTGCAGTGTGGTCACTTTCAAGAAAACTGGGAACTGATGGAGTTTTGTGTTCACAGTGTACCAAAAGTTGCATGTAACTTAATCAGCCAGTGGGGGCTATCAGCTCCCAGGAGTTCAGTGAGAACAGGGCCCATGTACATTTCTAATCAACCTCACTGTTATAACAGCTTGTGTTTAGTATGCTTCAGGTCACATTTAAAGTAGTTCAGGGAAATAAATGATCACAATTCTCAATTTGAGTAAACTATCCCTTTAAGACGAGGCAATGTAACAGTAATGAATGAGGCAATGAATGCTGTACCTTAATGCATCTGCGTAGAAAAGGTACTCCTTCAGCTGATCAGCATAATGCTCCTCTTCCTCTAGAATATCGTCTACAGAAGCAGCATACCTGTAACATACAAAAGTGCCTGATTAAAGGGTAGTTGACATACAACACATCCATGTACTTCTCCTGATATGGTCACAGACATGCGTACGCTAAGTTTGAAGTCAGTAAGATTTTTTTTTTGTTGAAAGAAATTACTTTATATATTTGTATTCCGCAAGGATGCATTAAATTGATTAAAAGTGACAGCAAATACATTTACAACGTTACAAAAGATTTCTATTTCATATAACGCTGTTTTTTTGTACTTTCTATTCAACAAAGATTCCAGAATAAAATCGGAAAAATTCAGCTTTGCATCAAAGAAATAAGCTACAGTTTTAAATATATTAAAATAGAAAACAGTTATTTGAATTATAATGATATTTCACAGTATTACAGTATTATTTTTCAAAAAGATAAAAAAAAAACTGACCCCAAATTTGTTGAACAATATTGTTTAACGGCAACATGACCAATGAAATTATGAATGGTTGAATAAATTATAGTAAGAACCATCTGTTTGTTAAATTAGTTGTTTAGTCTTATGTTTTTAACTCAGTGTTACGCAGTATCTTTTGTCATAAATCTTTTCGTTGGTTTTCATCGAGTTCCGAGTCAAAGATAAAATAAATATATGAGATGAAGTATTTTTCATTTAACTCACTGAATTCCACAAAAATTGGCATTACCACATGTTTTTTAATATATAAAACACTTTTCGTTGGGTTTCCAATAACTGTAACTTTTTATATATACTGTGACCATGATATTTTGAAGAAACCATGAATATTTTGGTCATACCTAATGTCACAAACTGGCATTCTTGTAATACTAAATGCGTTATCCTCTCTAAATCAGACAGAGAGCCTGTGGAACTAAAGCCAAACCTGCAGCAGAGCCTGTTTGGGGTATTACAAGGAATTCTGGGAATAGGTGAGCAACATGATCCATAAAACAGTTTGACAGCTGCCAAATAGGGGCTGATGACGGACAGGTTGTTTCTTTCAGTGCGGAGACAGACAGGCAGCGCATTGGGCTCTGACCTTTGACCTTTCTGCCAAGTACAGCAATCTGGAATCCATCAGAGCAGACAGCAATACAAAACCAGTATAGAAACGAAAAGGGCTGGTTAAAGACTCACTAAGGACACTTCTGCAAGAAAGTCCCTCTCACAACAACATCATAATGTTGAAAAAAAAATTACCACTAAACGTTTTGGCCATGGCTCCCGGAGATTCGCGGCACGGCCTGCCAGCCAAATCAAAACAAGTCTCCCAAGGGCTCATCTTACTGGCTACTTGTTATGGGGGGGCCATGAATGGAAATCTGAGAGGATACAGATCAATCTGGCAAATGTGTTTTACAGCTCAGTACCAGGAGCACACATGTGTAGAATCACGGGAGGGTCATGGGGTGTATCATACAGCACCTTCATATTTCAGATCGTCCCAGGTAGGAGAAACACAATCAAAACCAGCTGCAATAAGGTCTTGCACTAATCCCATAAAGGTACATGAGAATGGCTCATAAAGTGACTGTTGCATATGCTGTGAACTCACGCGTCCATGTGATGGCCAGCGCTCTGCAGCCCATCTCCCATCTCTTTCTCAATGGCACTCCATTCGCTGTCCAAAACAAACAAAGACTCACATTGAACCACTGCAGCTGACCGCAGCTACACACTCACAACCCAAAAGATTTACCCCCAAAAATGCTTCTCACAAAAATGGTTTACAGAGCACGTTATAAAACATGCCTTGCTCCTTCAAAATGAGCATACTTAATTGTGATTGAACTGTGTACTGATTATACTGTGAGAAAAATGTGGAGCAACTGGTCTATTCATTACACATTGATTGTATAGTTTCAGATGACGTGAAATATAATGCACAGGTCGTATATAGACTTTAATGTAGCTATTTGTTGACCATGATTATATGCATTATTGAACAATATAATTTTTTGTAGCAATGCGAACGTTTTTACTTTTGATACATTTAATGCATACTTGGAATGAAGTCTTAACCAAAATATAGACCATAATCATATATGCATATAAACATGGTCATTATATGGAGAAGAGGAGCCTGGACATACTGCAAAACATCTCTTTTTGTCCCCCACAGAAAAAAGTAAGCCATATCAGTTTTGACATGACATAAGTAAATTATTCATATCTGAGTGAACTATTCCTTCAAAAAAAAACATCACCTAAAGACTCTTCCATAATTTCCATGCACTTTGTAGACTCCATACAGGCGATCAGCTGCTCTCTAAAAGAAGAGTTGAACTCTGTTAGTAAATTATTAGATTTTTTTTTTTTTTTAAAGCACATTTTCATTAGATTCACTATGATTCAAATCCAACCAGATATATATAAAAAAAAGCAAAAACAGAGACTTTCAAGACTTACTGTAAATCAGTGTAAATACAGACTGTTCATGTGAAAATATACAATCAGAAGAATTTTGTTGGAATAAATGGTACTTCAGAAGAATAATTAAACAAGTTGGCTAAAAGAACCGTTAATGAAATCAACAGAATCGCTTTCCTTACAATTTTTATCCCTAATAACACCTAATATATGCAATACTTAAATTAGGCATTTGTTGGAGTGAAAAAGCTGCATATTCGGCTGTCTTGACTTTGTTTATACTCACTGCACGAACTCTCAGCAGCTGCGAAATAACAGATTGCAGCTCATCACCGTAGTGTTTCATTTCTGCAAACCGCCTGTGAAACACACACACGGCTCAATGTTAGTTTCAGTGTTAACAAACAGCACGGCCATATCTTTATGCATTTCATGACACTGCGTTGCACGGTTTACAAAAATGACTTACTTGTCTGGATTCTTCACTCTGAATGTGGCATTTAAAGCTTTCAATCTTGAATCGGCCTGTAAGAAGGACAAAGGCCAAATGTTGACAGACAGATTCGTGTTTGGGTTTTGTTTTTTCAGATGGTGTAAAACAGGATTACAGGCACTCCTTACAACAATCTTTTTAAATGACTGAGATCAGATAAACACTGCAATATGGCAATAATATACACTAACATAAAACACTGCTGCTCTTTCGGGTTTGAACCAGAACGGTCCAACAGACTTCCTGTGCCGGTTTACATAAACTATAGCATACTGAAAACAGATTCTTCACCGCAGTAGCAATTCAGTTACTTCACACAATTTAATTTGAAATTATTTAGTCAGCCTCATATCAACATATACAGTGGGTACGGAAAGTATTCAGACCCCCTTAAATTTTTCACTCTTTGTTATATTGCAGCCATTTGCTAAAATCATTTAAGTTAATTTTTTTTCCTCATTAATGTACACACAGCACCCCATATTGACAGAAAAACACAGAATTGTTGACATTTTTGCAGATTTATTAAAAAAAAAAAACTGAAATCTATGGTGAGGAGCAATATATAAATAACAGAGTCGTGGGTAGAGGTTTAAAGAGAGAAAGAACCCAATGAACTGGAAAGTGCTGATATACCTTCGCCTGAAATCCTGTCTCAAACACGGTTTCCTTCCAACCATTTTCCTGTGGGGCAAAGAAAGGATGCAATTTCTGACACTGACAAAGGGCATTATCAGCATGAAAATTAAAAAAAAAAATCGTTTTCAAATGGCAAGTGACATTAGGTCTGTCAACTTAAATTAATTTAGTTCAATTATTTAAATTCACAATTTATGAATTGCTGGACTGTGGGCCATTGATAATCTTACACTAACGTTCAAAAAGTTTGGGATCAGTAGGATTTTTTAAAATTTTTTATTCAGCATTAAATTGTAAATGCATCACAGTTTCAACAAAAAAATATTAAGCAGCACAACTGTTTTCAACATTGATAAAAGTAAGAAATGTTTTTTGAGCACCAAATCAGCAGGTTATGACTTCTGAAGGATCAAGTGACACTGAAGAGTGAAGCTTTGAATAAATTACATTTTAAAATATATTCATATAAAAAATAAAGTAATTTTAAACTGTAATATTATTCGCCAATATTACATTTTCACTGTATTTTTGCTCAAAAACATTTAAAAATCGTACTGATCCCAAACGTTTGCATAGTAGTGTGTTATAGAAATAAAATAAAAATATTGGCTTCAAAAGCCACTTATAATGTATATCTACAATATCCATACTTTGTTTATCTGCCTTGATAATTTTATGTTTATTCATTGGTATTGTATATGCGATTATATGTGATTATTTATTTTTTCAATTCATTTATATTTCTACTAGGTTGTCAATTGATTTTCTTTTCTTTTTTTTAAACAACTGACAGCGTAATAGAAACAAAATAATTATTTAAAAATCTACAAAAACTTAAGTTAATTACAAATTAGGAATTAAGCACAAATGTTAAAATCTAAGACGCAAATAGAATATCCTGTCTATTTCAACGTGCGAGTGGCATGCTACTGGTTTGATACACCCTTTGCTTTGTCCAGACAGCTTTAGTGAGACCTCTCTACCTCAGTGAGGAACAAATAGAAGATCTTGTCACTGGACAGGACTGGGTGTGAGGCCACTCTGAGCAGGAAGTTCTCTAGTCCAACCCTACGCCTCTCCACGAAGTCAGGGTCCATGTTGTCTGCTGACAGCTTGTGCCAAACAAATTCAGCCTGTTGCAAAAAATATGAAGTTACAGAGCATGAATTCAAATCACATTTACAAGCAGTAGTAACCAAGGTGTCTTGTTTGCATACCCGTTTTTCAGGCAATGGCGGAACCACCGCAAATGGATAGGTAACTAACAAATAGTTTCGAAGCAGCTCAAACTCGCTGTAACGCCTCCACAATGAATCTAGGGCGGGATTGGTCCCTTCTGAGGCAGCATCCACCGGCCTAAAAACACAGAACAAATGAACAGACTGCCAGAAGTGGAATGAAAAAGTCTTTCAATAAAAAGTTTGGTATAACGATATATACATCTCAGGAAAAATAATAAAAACACTTTTGTCACAAATGTGGAGTTAGTTTAAGCTAATTTCTAAATAATCTGAAATCTGAAGATCTACGGGGTTTCAAGTTGTGGTTCTAGTTTATGAAAGTAGTTTAAAAAACTGGGAGACTTTGAAATTAGAGCTTAAAGGGTTAGTTCACCCTAAAATGAAAATTAGGCTGCGTTTTACTCACCCCCAATGCATCCTAGGTGTATATGACTTTCTTCTTTCAGACGAATCCAGTCGGAGTTATATTAAAAATTGTCTTTGATCTTTCAAGCTCTATCGTTGCACTCAGCGGGTGTTGCATTGCTTCTGTCCAAAAGACGTGAAATAAAAAGCACCTTTCCATAAAAAAAAAAAAATGTCTCTCACGGCTCCGGGGGGTGAACAAAGGCCTCCTGTAGCGAATCGATGCGTTTTTGTAAGAAAAATATCCATATTCAAAACGTAATAATCACTTGAATCTAGCTTGCGCTCACTGTTGTAAACAGAAGCAGTTCCGGGGGAATTACGAATGAGGTCAGCTTTGTGCATGCGCCGCTCAGAAGTGACGCACGCGGAGAGATCGAAACAAAACAACGGTCAATAATTAGAAGTACAAAACGAGGATTTGTAAAGAAGAATGTCGGAGGATTTCGATATAAGCCAAGAGGAGACTTGTTTTCCTTTGCTAAAGTAAGGAAACTTTGCTTCTTTTGATCCTGTAAACAAACGTTGGTTTTCACGAGACTCACCGGCACATGCGCAACGCTGAACTCAAACGTCATGCTCCCGGAACTGCTTCTGTGTGCAACTGCTGGCTCAAGCTAGATTGAAGTGATTATTAAGTTTTGAATATGGATATTTTTCTTACAAAAACGCATCGATTCGCTACAGAAGGTCTTTGTTCACCCCCTGGAGCCGTGCGAGACAATTTTATTTATGGAAAGGTGCTTTTTATTTCACGTCTTTTGGACAGAAGCAATGCAACACCCACTGAGTGCAACGATAGAGCTTGAAAGATCAAAGACAATTATTAATATAATTCTGACAAGATTTGTCTTAAAGAAGAAAATCATATACACCTAGGATAAACCGGGGGTGAGTAAAACGCAGCCTAATTTTCATTTTGGGGTGAACTAACCCTTTAACTTCCTGAGGGCTCCAGGGAAGAAATGGGAGCTCATAATGTGCTCCATGCTAATAATCCATGATGAAATCAAAGCACAAGGAAGGTGAGGATTGGCTGAGAGGCATTCTCCACTCAGACTGTAGAACTTTTTCCAAGATCAGTGGCACCAAACTGCTCTCTAAAGCCCACTGTTTGCATGTGCATTATACTAGCAACACCAAGTTCATGGGTTCATTTCCCAGGGGATGCACTGGTAAAATTAAAAAAATATTCAATGCAATGCAAGCCATTTTCAATAAAACCTCTGACAAACACATAAATGTTCATGTAAAAACTAAAGGTAACTTTTTGCATGAACAAGCACCATTCTAATTTAATTAAGAAAAAGTGAAAATCTAGTTATGGACGCTTTTCCAGTTACAGGACTGTACCAAAAAACACATTTGAAAATGTCTTGGTTAAAGACAGTGATTTAATGAGTTCGACCGACCACTAAGTATTGTTTTTGAATCATGTGATAATATGTTACTGCACTCTGGCCAGTGTGTGCGCGTGTTTGGCGCTGCTGGAAACACAGACGAAGCACATCTGCCTGAAGCGCTGACTCATCACCCTCTCCAGAACGACACATCCCTCTTTCCAACACAAAGCTTGGTGGGGTGATGAGGGTGAGAGCGAAAGGTGAAAGTGACACTTCTGTTGCATGTCACTTCCTGTCCAATGGGATACTCCGGTTTTGTTCTACTTGATGTAGAAAGAATATGAAAGTGACAGTTCCAGGCACAGGAAGAAAAGGTCTAGTGTAAATATTTAAATATGAAGTGGACTTAAAGAGAGGAAATCCGATGGTCTCTACCAGTCTGCTGCAGCTTCCACAGTTTCTGAGCTGGTCTAGCTATGCTGTATATGACTCCTTCATATTTTGTGTTCAGTTCATAGTTCAGTCTGACAGTCAATGTGTAAACCTGCTTTATCTAAACTAGGTTATTCGCATTCACAAAGAAAATGCACATAATAACCAAACAGATCTTTTGCAATGGCTAAAAATGATTCGTTTAGATAGATCCACACTTCCAGCTGTAAACTGACTGCATCCAAACCCCTGACCTTCATTATCATGTCAAGAAAGGAACATCTACTGTACAATACTTGTGACATGGTAGGGTTTGAATGGCTCCTAGACATCTTTAAAGAACAAGTATTTAGTTAATACTTGTGTCTAGTATTGGCTCGACTACAGTATAAATATCATTTCTATCAATAGAAACGCCATAGTATAATTATTCGGATTGGATGGAGGTAGATCTTAATGAAAGCTTGCAGTCGATTGTAAAAAGGGGCAGAGTTTATATGAACAAAATGACAGGAGAAATCCAGCATTCGACACCTAGGGATGCAACGATTATAGATTTTGTTGGTATGATTATTGTCTGAGGAATAATCACAGTTTTACGATTATGACGATTATGCATTTATTCATTTCCCAACATTACTAATGTATAAAATCACATGAACACTCTTTAGATATTAAAGTGTTATTTATTGCTGGCTTTTGAAACAGAAATAACACAGTAACCAACAATACAGCACAAAATAATAATAAACAAAAGACAAACAAAAGTCCATCTCTCCCATTGGAATTAAAAAAGGTGACCTCTGCTCTGTAAACATCCATGACAGTAGTGCTGGGCGGTATACCGGTTCATACCGAATACCAGTGTTTATTTTTGTTATGATATGAATTTTATAAATACCGCAATACCGGTGTATGTCGCTTAAACAACGTTCAGAATGTGACACTGTTTGAAAGGGGTCCCTTTTCACTGTTGCACTGTGGTGAGGGAACAGCTGTATGTGTTACTAAGTGTGAAAGTTCCGAAACTGAAGCTGTAGAACTAATAGAACGTGATGACA